GCCCAAAACATTTATTGAGCATGTTAAAAATATGGGCATTATTGTTACTAATGATTGTTGAGTATTATGTTTATTTGATATTAAGTGATTGACATTTTGAGCTCATTAATGATATGTTTCTGAGTACCTGTTTTCTATGGTTTTATGCATATTTGTGTTAGAGTAATGTAAACAGGTGTTATCTTGAATAAAGATATAATGTTGGACCAATTATGTGCTCCTTATTAACGATCATATTAAGAAGAAGACTCGTTTGTAGTACATGGAAGGGACTATGTCGATTAAACTGATGTACAACCGCCATGACTCAAATTAGTTCATATTTTTAAATATGAAATTATGATGAACCCAATGTATAAAATGATTTAGCCATTTTAATGCGCATTATGTTAATTTAATTAATTTATTTATTTGTCCGTTGTGAGAAATGTCACATGAGTCAAGTGGGAGAATGTAAGATAATTATGTCTCATGTGGGAAATATGTAATATATAAAGGGACTAATAAATAAATAATTAAATAATTAAAGACTAAATCATAAATGGGTTTAATGGAGCATTTATGAGAATAATTGTTATTTGATGGAAATAACAATCTTTAGGGATTATAAATATCCACTAATGTGAGACAAGGTCCACACCCCTGACAGAAAGTATTCTCTCAAACCCTAGCCATCACGAAAGATAGAGAGAGTAGAAAGAAAAGTCAAAGGGAGTGAAATCTTGGTTCTCTTCTCAAGAAGATCAAAGCACTCTAAGGATCAAAGGAGTTTTCTACTATGGAGAAAGGTACACACTTTCTTATTATTATGTGAGTATCATGAATTTCAAAGATCCTTTAATTTTCTATAATTGATGTATTAGAAAATCATAGAACTTACATTTGGTATCAGAGCATGGTTTTGAAATTGAATGATTCTCCGTGAATGATATGTGTTGTAAAATTGTATAATTCTCCATGAATGTTATATATATATATATATATAACGATTTTGCAATGATCCAGAAGACATTGTCAAATTAAGAAATTTCAAGCAATTTTTTTCTCACCGGAAGTGAGATAATTGTACAACAATAGAAAATAAAAGAATATTTTCTCACCAGAAGTGAGATAATTGTGCAACAATGAAAATAAAAGGATATTTTCTCACCCGAAGTGAGATAATTGTACGACAATGAAAATAAAAGAATATTTTCTTCACCTGAAGTGGGAAAATATTATGAAAAGTGAAAAGAAAAAGGATAGACAAATAAACGAATATTATATAAATGTTATCCTTTGAGTACCACCGGAAGTGGAATAATTCTATCAAGGTCATTGTTGCAATATTATGTTTAATTTTCCGCTGCATGTTGTTTGTTTGGATCATGAATGTAATTCTAAATTTTGAAATATGATCAATATATTAAATTTCACATTATCGAAATCCTAGTGGTAATCGCGTAAGAATTATTTTCTTGAAAGTTTCCTTTTTTCTAAAAATACCTAAATTTGTATTTCTAATTGGAAAGAATTGATTTTTTAAAATCAGATCTTGGAATTAATTTTATGATGAATTTGTTAGTCACCAAAGTGGCCAGATTTTATATTTATTTTAATTCCAAATTAATGGTGATTTAATTCAATTACCCATAGAATAATGGATGCTAAATAAAATAATTGTTTGTTTATGGGTATATTGAAATTCATTATTATAAGACATTTATGTATCGCCCAAAGGTTGATTAGTTGTTCTCATAATCAATGAATATAATTGTGTGTGACTTATGTGTGCTATTAGATTATTTATATATCCAAAGGTATTAGATAATTCTAATTGGTGCATGTTTAGTTGCAAAATAATGATTAAATTTATTAGCATCATTATGTTTGTATGTTGTATGTTGATGTATCACCCAAAGGAGAACATCAATATACTATTAATTGATGTTTGAATATATTATATGTGTAGCATGTATTTTATGTCTCAAAACACTCATAAAAAAAAAATTTATTATGCAGTATCTGTTCCCAATTCACTAAATTCTCTTGTAGCGTCTGTTCCAAATTTTAATGGGCTTAATTTCTCTGACTGGAATGAGCAAGTTCAATTTCTCCTCGGTGTTTTGGATCAAGACCTTGCTATATTGGAAGAGAAGCCTCCTACTATTACTGATTCTAGTAGTAATGAAGAAAAAGCCTATTATAAAGCTTGGGAAAAGTCTAACAGACTCTGCCTTATGTTCATGAGAATGACTGTTGCTGACAGTATTAAGACAGCTCTACCCAAAACTGAAAGTGCTAAAGAATTTATGGGTTTTGTGGGAGAGCGCTCTCAAACAGCTGATAAGTCTCTTGCTGGGACACTAATGAGTACACTGACCACCATGAAGTTTGATGGTTCACGTACTATGCATGAGCATGTCATTGAGATGATAAATATTGCAGCAAGACTTAAGTCTTTTGGAATGGCTGTGAATGAGAACTTCCTTGGGAATGTTCTACTTTCTTGTAGCATAGACGTTTAGGTCACATTTCTAGAGAAAGAATGAAAAGATTAATAAAAAATAAAAAAAAAATTCTTTCAAATCTAGATTTTACGGATCTAAATATTTGTGTGGAATGTATTAAAGTATGGCATTGATTATAAAGAGACTTTTTCACCCGTCTCACGAAAAGATTCTTTTAGAATTATCATGGAATTAGTAGCTTATTATGACTTGGAACTACATCAAATGGATGTGAAAACTGCCTTTTAAATGGAAATTTGGAGGAGAATGTTTACATGGACCAACTAATGTGGTTCTCGGTTGAAGGAAGGAACACATGGTGTGCAAATTAAAGAAATCAATATATGGACTTAAGCAAGCTTCCCGCCAATGGTATTTAAAGTTTAATGATACCATTGTTTCCTTTGGATTTAAAGAAAACATTGTTGATCAATGCATATATTTGAAGGCCAGTGGGAGTAAAGTTATATTTTTAATTCTATATGTTGATGACATCTTGCTTGCAACTAACGATCTTGGTCTTCTTCATGAGACTAAGAAGTTTCTCTCTAGTAACTTTGAAATGAAAGATATGGGCGAGGCAAGCTATGTGATAGGAATAGAAATATTCCGAGATAGATCACAAGGACTGTTAGGCTTGTCTCAGAAAGCATATATCAATAAAGTACTAGAGAGATTCAGGATGGAAAAGTGCTCAGCATCGCCCGTTCCAATTCAGAAAGGAGATAAGTTTAGTCTCACTCAATGTCCTAAAAATGACTTGGAACGAAAACAAATGGAAGCAATTCCGTATGCATCAGTTGTTGGGAGTATCATGTATGCTCAGATCTGTACTCGACCAGATATAAGTTTTGCAGCTGAAATGTTAGGAAGATACCAAAGTAATCCGGGAATGAAACATTAGAAAGCTGCAAAGAAAGTTTTGATATACTTATAGGGAACAAAGTGTTACATGCTTACATATAGGAGGTCTAATCACCTTAAGGTGATTGGATATTCAAATTTTGATTTTGCTGGATGTGTGGATTCAAAAAAAAAAAATCCACTATTGGCTATGTATTTCTTTTAGCTGGAGGAGCAATATCATGGAAAAGTGTAAAACAAACAATTTTTTGCTTCATCGATTATGGAAGCTGAATTTGTAGCATGTTTTGAGGCTACAATTCAGACTAATTGGTTGCAGAACTTTATTTCAGGGCTTGGAATTGTCGACAGTATTGCCAAGCCGCTGAAAATGTAATTTGATAATTCTGCAGCAATATTTTTTAAGAATGACAAGTACTCTAAGGGTGCTAAGCATATGAAATTAAAGTACTTTGTCGTGAAGAAAAAAGTTCAAAAACAAAGAATGTTAATAAAACATATTAGCACAAACCTTATGATAGTTGACCCTTTAACAAAGGGATTACTGCCCAAAACATTTATTGAGCATGTTAAAAATATGGGCATTATTGTTACTAATGATTATTAAGTATTATGTTTATTTAATATTAAGTGATTGACATTTTGAGCTCATTAATGATATGTTTCTGAGTACCTGTTTTCTATGGTTTTATGCATATTTGTGTTAGAGTAATGTAAACAGGTGTTATCTTGAATAAAGATATAAAGTTGGACCAAGTATGTGCTCCTTATTAATGATCATATTAAGAAGAAGACTTGTTTGTAGTACATGGAAGGGACTATGTCGATTAAACTGATGTACAACCGCCATGACTCAAATTAGTTCATATTTTTAAATATGAAATTATGATGAACCCAATGTATAAAATGATTTAGCCATTTTAATGCGCATTATGTTGATTTAATTATTTATTTATTAGTCCGTTGTTAGAAATGTCACATGAGTCAAGTGGGAGAATGTAAGATAATTATGTCTCATGTGAAAAATATGTAATATATAAAGGGACTAATAAATAATTAAATAATTAAAGACTGAATCATAAATGGGTTTAATGGAGCATTTATGATAATAATTTTTATTTGATGGAAATAACAATCTTTAGGGATTATAAATATCCACTAATGTGAGACAAGGTCCACACCCCTGACACAAAGTATTCTCTCAAACCCTAGCCATCACGAAAGATAGAGAGAGTAGAAAAGAAAAGTCAAAGGGAGTGAAATCTTAGTTCTCTTCTCGAAGATCAAAGCACTCTAAGGATCAAAGGAGTTTTCTACTATGGAGAAAGGTACACACTTTCTTATTATTATGTGAGCATCATGAATTTCAAAGATCCTTTAATTTTCTATAAAATAATGATGTACTAGAAAATTTATAAAACTTACATATATATTTTGTTTTATATTTTTATTTTAGGTAAGTTAACCGTATAACCTATCAAACCGTAATGGGTTGAACTGGATTCGCCTTTTTGTTACTCACTTTGACAGCTTTACCAAGTATAAAATGGAAACTGTTAATCACCTTATTTGGAATCTGATTTCATGTGAAATAATACTTGGGAACGGTGTATTGGAAATAATGTGAGAGAAGAAAAACCAATGTACTTGATGTGAAATAATACTCGGGAACGGTCTATTGGATATAATGTGAGAAAAAAATAAAAGTCAATAAACCGTAAAGCAGCCAAAAAAACTGTAAAAGACTAAATATACAATACAAGCACACTATTTTTTGCTCTTAATTCCTAGTTTTTGTATTTTAATTTTTTTTTAATTCTTTTGACCTATATCTGGTATCTGGGGTACTCACGAAGAACAAGAAAGCATGCATACCCCTGGTCTATATGCCCAAGCTGGGGGCAAGCGAGCATATTTTTCCATTCCTGGTTGCTCATCAAATGGATGCTCCACTAATTTCAGCAACCTCCGGACTTCTTCAAAATCACCTATTTCTGCTGCATCAATTGCAGTCTGGCAGAGATAGTTCCTCAGTATATATTTTGGATTCACCAAATCCATCGATGTTTTCCTCTGTTCGTCAGAAATACCACTGCTAGAGAGCTGCATTAACCAAAGGAATCATGTTAGATGACAAAAGCACAAGACATCTTAGCTATAATTGATTTAACCATGCTCAAATTATTACCGCAGCTTATGGCATAACACAAGTTCAAAATCTTATGAAACCAGCAATTTCCCCATAGTTTAGATAAGAAGAAAAAGTTCAGTTAATATTTATCGAATGGCAGTGATTAGTCCCAAATCCCAATTAAAATCAAATTTTAAGGAGGTATCCAAATCTCAAGACACTGCTTTGAGAGCCCAAAAATATGCAAAGCCATCAACTAGTATAACTGAGTACTTGTTCATCTTCTTTAATCTGAATGAAAAAGTTTGCAATAATTGTATGCGTCTTTCTCGCAAACTGGTGGTTAAATAAAGATATATGAACCACAAATTTCACCAGTATTGATCCAACATTCTGTCACTTGAAACTTTTAAATGAGCCAAGGAAATTAAGTGATGTAAAAATCAATTTATGTGATGTTGGTGGAACAAACTAGAATTTTTGGGCATGGGGAAAGAAATCAAAGAATAAATGGGGATGACTTTGCACATGGATGATAACCTATATACAGCATAAAGAAGCATAAAAAAAATGTTCCAGATGTTCATCATAAATACACAACAAACAATATGTTTCAAGAATAAATCAGGATGACTTTGCACATGGATGAAAATTGACAGTTTCAAGAATGGCAAAGGACATCCCGAGAAAAGTCATGCATATACAAGCTCCAGAGATAGAGAGAAGAAAGGTCACTATCAATGCTTCATAACCAGTCTACATGTATTTTTTTACTACAAGTGGATAACTTAATCAAAAGAAAATACATGAAACAACTGTACCTCGTGTATATAGGTTTTCAACCAACTGGTCCATGCTTCCTTACGCTCTTTACCAATGTCTAACAGTACTGACTTTAGTGGGACTAAGAGCTCATCATCCGGAATACTTGTGTCTGCTTTAACATTTGAAAGCATACGAAAGAAGTTTGTGTAATCAACTTTGTCAACAGCCATATTGCCAAGAAGTTTATTGATCAGCTGCTTATTATACTTAGGGAGGCCAAGCTTTTTGGTCATTATAACCTGATAATCATCCATAAATCTGGTTCCATATCTGAAAGAAACCAACCATGAGGTGAAACATTTAAAGGCAATTCACACCTATTTTCTCCTTTAAGGTTAAATATATCAGAAGTGTTACTACTACCTTTCCATAGCATAGTTAGCCTCTTTTTCATTTATTAAATCAGCAGCTTGTAGTGTTGTGGTGAACTGTGCAACATTCCACAAACCAATGTCTGGCTGGTTTGCAAAACAGTATCTTCGACCTGGAAGATCTGTGGTATTTGGGGTAAATTTAGGATCAAAAGCATCCAAAAATCCAAATGGGCCATAATCTATTGTAAGACCCAAAATGCTCATGTTATCTGTGTTCAGCACACCATGAGTGAAACCAACCCCCTGCCATCTGGCAATCAAGGAAGCAGTACGCTCGGCAATCTCCACCACCCATGCTAACATAAAACACCATTAAGAAGAAGGAGTAGATAGTCAAGATTAAAAGTCCGACTTTTTTTAACATTTGATATGACAATACAATGAAGACAGCAGTATAATCCAGGAGACACGAGCTTAACTACTTAAAGATCTAAAAATTTCAATAGTTTCGATGTTGGCCAGATCGTAACATTCATAGCCTTACAATTTGGAATTCTTATGTTTGTGGTCTGGCAGAGTTAACTTACTTAAAGATTTAAAAATTTCAACAGTTTCGATGTTGGCCAGACCGTAAAATTCATAGCCTTACAATTTGGAATTCTTATGTTTGTGGTTCTCGAAGTCAGGAACTAACATTCTCTATGGAAGAGATTTAGCCCATGTTTGGTAACAACTTTTTTTCAGGAAAGTAATCTCTTTTTTTTTTTTTTCAAAAGCTCTCAAGAAATTGGGCAGAAGAGAAAAAGCAATATTTATCCAAAATAAGCTAAATCAATGACACACTTAGTCTAGTGAATTTGTCCTTGATTGGTCTGTTATTTGGGCTATTGCTTATGTTTGTAGCAGTTGGTTTATTTAACCTTGGCCTAAAGCTCACAATAACCTGGTTCCCAAGTTTAACTAGTCACATAAAGTATTGTATTTAGTTTACAGAGATAATAATGATGAGGATATTAGGCTGACTGATATTTAAGCTGAATGACCAAATAACCAATCAAAAGTGCTAATTCAGTTCAAACTTCAGTCTGAATAACCATCTGTAACTGTTATTTGCTACTTCAAAATAAATCTTATGGTAAAAAAGTCACTACCACTATTTCTCCAAAGTTATTTTATTTTACCTGCATACTTGTTTGAAGTAAGATCTACAACAGAGTGATCTTCATCGCCAGTGCAGAAAGATAAGCTCTCGCTCTTACTCATATTCTCAATATGAGGAAAGTGGTGCTTGATAGCATAGTCTGCCAAAACACGAACAAGGCCTAGGTCCTTATCACCTCTGGCGGCATGTATTTGGTATGACCCAAAACGCAGAAAAGATTGGGCAACTCTGCAAACAATTGCGCCAGGTTCTTCCTTTGGATTTCCACTGCATGTGTGATATTAACAACATATTCATGTAATTAATTTTTAATATGTACAAAATACACAATCATAAAACCAAGGTTTTGATCTCCAATTCCAGTTATTCATCAAATAAAATTAAAATGAAACCTTTAGTTCTCTCTCTCTCTTTCTCTTGTGTGAACATAGCTAAGTTCTATTACAGTGCATGGAATACGACACTAAAATTTCATGACTCATACCAAAAATGCCAAGATACAGAATTTTTTTTTCATAACATGTATGTTATATATAGGAGAAAAAGGATTCATTTAGACATTCATTCTTTGAAGCTCACAGCATTTGTATTATAAGAACTTTGCAGAGGCTGGAATTTTAAATAAAACACGAGCTAGAGACATTTTAACAATAGTATAAACTGATACACAGAATTTTTTTTAAAAAAATAAAATAAAATTAACGACAGTTCAGCTAGCATACTCATAAAACATGTCTCGAGTGACCAGCTTCCCGGTGGTCACAAGACAAAGTGCACGAGTCGTTGGTATTCCCAGGTGGTGCATTGCTTCACTGCAAAGGAACTCCCTGACGCTGCTGCGCAGCACCGCAAGGCCATCCGCAAAGCGACTATAAGGAGTCCTCCCTGCTCCTTTAAGTTGCAGCTCCCACCTTTCAGACTTTGAATTAAGTATCTCCCCCAGCGTAATTGCCCTACCATCCCCCAACTGCCCAGCCCACGTGCCAAATTGATGCCCTCCATAGCACTGAGCATAAGGCAACCTGTACACCAGATCATCAATCACTTAGCACCATTTCCCATCCCAAAAACAATAACCCACAGACATATGTACACCACTTACGCTCCAACTAGAGGCGATGCACCAGAGAAGATAAGGGGAAAATCCGGCCTCTCAAATCTGAAACCCAAAACCAAGAACTGTTAGTAATAGCACATGATCTTGTGTCCAAGAAAAATGGAGACAGAAATATAAGATAATAATCCACATAATAACAATCAGAAATTAGAACTTAAAGCCCAGATATGCATGTGTTTGTGAACATATGTGGCCTCCCCATATCATCTAATATAGAGTAAATTTTCAAGATTAAGCTAAAGAGTCCTTTAGGATGTTATTAAAGTGAAGAAGGAAAAAAGACTGACTCTTTGTGGTCCAAATCGAGGATGTGGGCAACTGGTTGAGAGCAGGCGACAAGCTGAGGATTGTCCACTTGAGCAGAAGGCGAGAGTTTGGAGTAACAAGCATGCAGCACCTGAAATTGAAATGGGAGAAGATGAGGAAAAAGGAAGGTGGAAATGGAAGCGGTGGAGATTAGGTAACCTAAGGGACCTGGCGGGGAATGGAATCGGTGCGGGGATCGGAGGGCAATTGACGAACGAAGGAATGGTCCCAATTGAGATCTTGGAGAGTGCGGTTGTGAGCGGTGAGGTTGTGGTTCCTGAGGCGTTGGGTGACGGAGTCGAGGTCCATGGAGCGGCATGCAATCCGAGGGCAGAAATGGTAATTCCTTGGGAGAGAGAGTTTGAGTGATTTTGGAGAGAAATGGGTCAGGCTGAGCACCAACCCTCCTCCCATCTTTTATCACTTCTGATTTCGGGTCAACCCTTTTCAATTCATTCACACTTCCTTATTCTCTTCTCCACCACATGCCACGTATACCATCTCTACACTTTACATTTAATACCACAAAAACACTTCTTCTTTTATTCGTTACAAACAGATATAACATAACAAATTCAATTTCTTTCCCAAATTGAATTTGTTCTTCTTTATGTTTTATCTCAACCTGTATTCCTCTTACTCAAATTTAACAATATGACTAAAATTAACAATATGACTAAAATTAACAATTGGCCCCAAAATTCTTGATTATATAATATATATTAGATAAATCATCACAACTATCACTATTATTGTTAAAGTTTAGTACATGAGTCGGTCTACTCTATGAAGACTCAATTTACATGTACTCATGAATAAGGAAGTTATGTCAAGTTGACCCATAAAATAAATTGGTCTTTATAATAAATGGTGCACACTAGCTTACTATTAGTTGTTGGTTAGATTGCAAACTTGAAAAAATAACTAATGATTGGTGGTGATGATTAAAATCATGTAAAAAAAGTAAGAAAGAATATCTTACCAACATTTATCTATTTCTAATAATAATGTAATATATTTAAGATTTAAATACAATAAATAATGTGATATAGTAGTATTTTTTAAAAAACATAATTAATGATGTGAGAGAATACGAAAAATAAAGTAACGTTGCACAAATAAATTTGTTGTATGGTATTACTATCATTAATCATTCACATTGAGACATTAATTATTAAATGATGAAGCTAAAATAGTGAGTTAATTATTTATGCACTATTAGTATAATTTTTTTATATACTAATAACTAATTATATTTTTTAATAATATCATATTAATTATTTATTTAATAAAATAAAATAATTTAAAAAATATGATTAGTTATTGATATAAAAAAATTTATATTGGACAATCTATGATGATTAACTCTAAAATAATTATCATGGTCCTAAATTGTTCTAAAAAAAAACCTGGCAGGAACATTTTGAAAAATTGTAAACATCATCGCTTCACATTGCTTGGCTGAAGAAAGGAAGACATTGATCGCGTTGTGTTGGCCTCGAAGCTTTGAATTCAAATCTTCCTTCAGCTTCTGCCTCCGTATTTGGATGCGTATCGTCCCCAATTCTTAACAGCAGTGAGGAGCTCGCGTGCTTCAACAAGTTGATTGATTTTGACGCTTGGGGACCGCAATGGAATTTGATCTCTCCGATAGCAGTGGTGGGTCATTTCCAAAAAAAAAAAAACATTTTTTTTTCTCTGGGGTTTTACTTTTTCTGCTGAGTGTGTTGTGTTGTGTCTTTTCTAGGTGGTCTCCAGGACCCTAGCCTTTCTGGGCTGTGTTTTTGTTTATGATGGATTGTTTTTTACTTTATCTTGTTTATTTAATCTCTTACATTAATTGAGCTAGAGTCAATTTTCATAATGACATCGAACTGAAATAGCACTTTTGTTATTCTTATTCCTGAAGAAACCATTTGGCTGTTGCTGCTATTGTTGTAAGTAGAAACTTTGTTGCCTGAAACTGCAACTTTGTTAAGCTTTCCATTTGAAATGTTGACTCAATGTTGAGAATAGTTGCAGCTGTTTTGTGATGTTGGAGAAGTTGTTTGAATAGATAATTGCTAGAATGAGTTTGGACCTTAATTTGGGATAAGTTAACATCTAATTAGGAATTGCTTTGATAAATACTGTTGATTCTTCACCGGTTCTTATTGTAACTCATGCCACTCTGTCTGACATTATACACAAACACATATCACACATAAAGAGGTTCACTTAGTTTTATTTGGTCAATAACATTATGCAGGTACTAAACAAGTGACTTGAAAAACTTCATTTTACCCCTCCTTTTTGCTAGTCCTGATTTTCGTCTTATGCATGGGTTGTCGGGTTGAGGTCTTGACTCTTGACTTGAAAGATTTTAAGTTTGATGCCATTTATGTATATCCTAAATCCCAGAAATGAACACCATTATTAGCTGATATAGTGTTCTTATTACTTTTAACTCCAAATATAGGAGCAGTTAACAGTGTTTCAAAGAAACGGTTCTAACAGTGAGCAAGGTAGGAAAATAAAAAGAACAAAAAGCATGTACTATCTGTATTTTGTTATCATGACCTGTCATCCTGAATCCGAAACCAGACCATGTCATTGATAATGAACAATTGTTGTGAAATCAGTGTGAAAAGAATAGAGTATGGGACCGAAAAGTGAAAACTCGTGACATACATCATGTTTGATTTATACCTGAAATGAACATGATTTCAAATAGTTTAGCATCTGAAGCAGGGGGAATACCATAAAAAAGTAAAATAAGATAAGCACAACTACCGGCTCCCCAGGACCAAAATCACACAAAGCAGTCATCGCAAATTGGCAGCAATTTTTTTTTCCCTATAAAATATCTATTTTTTCCTTTATAATTATTGTTATCCAACATAAGATATCTATCACATAGGCATAATTCTTGTGCACAATGTTGAGTACAGTTAAACTGTCCTAAATTTTCCGTGATAAAGCTAAATCTCTTAATGATATGAGTATACATTTCACATGTGGAAATGATTATTGTAGGTATTATTTTTTCTTGTTCCACTTGTACTTTGGTTTTTGTATTCAAAAGATTGCTTGCATTATCAATTTCTATAATCTGAAACAACCACAGGAACAGATGATGATCTTCCTCCTTCCCGTCAAAATAGATTTCAACGATCAGATCATGCTGCTGGAAGTGGAAGATCTGCAGTTGTTGGCTCTAGTCCATTGCCTAGGATGCAGAATGACATGGAAACACAAATTCATAACATTGAACAAGAAGCATACACCTCTGTCCTGCGGGCTTTTAAAGCTCAATCTGATGCAATCACTTGGGTACCTTTGCCTCAATTCATTGGTTCATCTTGCTAAAAAGTATGTTGGATAGGACTGACAATGCATTTTTTTGTTCTTGTTTGCTATAGGAAAAAGAAAGTTTAATTACAGAGCTTAGGAAGGAGCTAAGAGTATCAGATGAAGAACACAGAGAACTTCTATCAAGAGTCAATGCTGAAGACATCATCCGCAGGATAAGGTCATATATTTTGTCATATTCTACTGAGAAGTTTCTGTATACCATTGAGCAAACTGTGGTTTGTTCTGCATTTCAATGAGGGGTGTAACCAATTGTGCTGTTAGGGAGTGGAGAAAGGGAAATGGGCTCCAACCTGGCACAGTAAATACTGCACAGCAAGTTCATGATCGCAATACCAGCCCTACCATTTCGGCATCTCGTAAGAAACAAAAGACGTCACAATCTGTGGCTTCATTATCCTTGGGTGCCCCATCTCCAGCGGTTCATCCATCTATGCAACCATCATCATCTGCATTGAAGCATGGACCTCCATCAGGAACAAAGACCAAAAAGCCAAAATCAGTAAGCCTTTTGGTTTTGGAATATCAAGTAAACAAAATACTGTTACACATCCTCTATGGTCATTGTTTCCTGTTCTCAAATAAAAAAGATAATTGATTTGTGCATCCTCAATGAAGTCCACACAGTTCCCTTGTGCAGGACATATTAGCCGAAGCCAGGTCACTAATCAAGGGGATTCTTCAGGTGCCTTTGCTGCAGATGGTCCTGCTG